GACGGGAGGCATGGAGGCCAATGACTAGGAACAAGACTGTCCGACAACGTTTGTGCTGCAACGCGGTGCTGCTGATGGCAGTGGTTGTCGTTCACATCGATTACAAGCGAAGGGGTTTACGGTTTTAGTTGTCTCTCTCTGTGTGTGTGTGTGTTTGTGTGTGTGTATGTGTGCGTGTGTGTATGTGTGCGTGTGTGTGGGATGCTGCCATATTGCGCCTGTCACTGGCAACGTAACGCCATATTAATCTGGTTAATGATGAAACTGAATCAGCGTTTTAAACGACCCACTGCACAATGAAGTGGCCATCGAGCATCGGCAATGGCGCTGTCTCTGAAACTCTCTGCCTTATGTCGCATAAATGGTTGAGCCTGCAAATAAATTAGCTGCGGGTTTTTCCGCTCGGTCATTGCCCATAAAGTTGACGCAGCTTTTTTTCGTTGTTGTTTCTGTTGCCCTGTTTTTGCTTATTTGCCGTTGCTGTGGACTGAACTTTAATGCAACTTTATCTGGTTAGTTGGCCTATTATGGAGCTTCGCAGTTTTTGGTTGCATATTTTATGGCTTCATTGGCTTCGGGCTGGCTGCTAAATGCCGCATAAAGCAAATTCAGCGACCAAGCGGTTGCATTTTTTCGGCGCTGAACTTTACTCAAAATGTTACCACCATAATATGGAAAATGTGTGCTTAGTTTGCATTTGTTTGTGATATGCCAAAACGTCCTGTATGTCGAACTTTTACGGCTTAAGCTCCGGTGATTGAAGTTGTTGGACACAAAGATATTACTAGGCTGCAATTTTTAGGAAAACACACTGCCACAGCTGAATAGTAAGATAAGATATTGGAGAGTATTATGTAATAGACTTCAGATGTTTAATAAAATACTACAAATAAAGAATTTTTGTAGGTACTTATAACCTACAAGCAAATGCTCGCTATACCAACTAGGAAGATAGAAGGCCGAAGAGAAATAATATTGATAACCAGTAGGCATGTTGGTCTTATGAAAATGATTAGTTTGGCAAGAAAGAGACATAAGATTTATGTTAAATATACCAGATTGCTGCCCACAACCAACAACAGTAATAAAATAAAGTTATAAAAAAATACACCTCATTACAGTATTGTTTTTGCAGACCATGAACATTAACAGCACTTTTTAGTAAGGAGATTTTTATTTTAAATACGTTTCTCATTGCATTTTAAGCATTTTTAAAATGCATCTACTTAACATAAACTTTGAGTTTGGTTTCTTTGTGTCCAATTGCTTTGGCTTATTGTTTATTTTATTTATAATTTATAATACTCTGAACTATTTCGAATGCAATCAGTAAATACAAAACAAAACATTTTGAATCTATGGAAATTCTGCAAAGCTGTTAAGATTATGAAACTATAACTTACATTTTTGCTGCTTGAATTTGCTTATAAGTAATAAATTAGTATCAAATTGAATTGAATTAGGCTTTATACAACGTACAGTTGTAAAAGAGTCGATTTTGTCTCCAATAGACCCTTTTTGCAGTATCGTCTTTTGAGATTTTACTGAAATGTAAGATATTAACTTAAAAATGTTCTGATTGCGATAAGCAAGTAATAAGGAAATTTGTCATAAATAAAGAAATGTACGAGCCTCATCTTTATTTTTTGTAAATAATTAAATAAGACTAAACTCCTAGATAAATCTGCATTTGTATTTTTCTATAAGTTTAATTTAAGTTGTTGTAAATAATAACAGTATAATAAAAGTTTTACATTTATATAAAAAAAAATCATTCTTGGCTCCCAAAATGTCCTGTAGAACAGGGACTTTTTTGGCAAAGCCTGCTTTATTCTTTTAAGACTACACTAAAAGTTAAGAAAATAACTTTGTAAAATGTTTTTATGCTGATGATAAAGTAATTCGCACATTTGTCATTTCCCTACGTATTCATTTAAATTGACCCGATTGTTAGGATTACGGTTTCAAGTTGTCCTGAGAGTAGTAAGTCCATATGTTATTTGGGTTGTATCGCTTGCATGGTTTTGTTAATTCACAACAAAACGCTGACAAGTCAACAACTTTTAAAACTCGTATCTTGCCCGCATTCATTTGCTGCAAACTGACGCAAAATGTGGCTCGGCAAATTAATGAGCACAACAACACGGCACTGGTGACAGCAACGACAGCACTAACAACAATAACAACAAGAAGAACATTGGAGCAAATAGTCGAGTCGCGTGCGCACGTGGAACATGGAAGCGGAAAAGTTTTGCTCAAGTGCCGACGCTTGCCACATGCATGCAACGCATTTCAACGGATGAGAATAATGACGATGAATTCGTTGATTTGAATTGTGATTAAAATTCAGCGTATAATTTTGGCACGCCTTGGATGGCAGGCGGCGCAAGTTGATGTTGATGTTGGTGGCATGTGCTGCGCCCAAGTGTTGGGAACGCAAGCGCGCCACGAACTTTTGCCTCGCTTCACACTTTGTCTTCTGGGATGGGGAAAATGCTGAAAAATGACGGGAAAAAAGCGCTGGAAGTTGAAGAAAAATTGCAAACCGCAACTCGTGTCGACTTGCGCGCCGACTTGGCTCCGGCTCCCATTTTGATGTTAGAATAATGAAGAGGCAAAACTTTTGCGCAAGGCATGTAATTTTTCGGTGTGACAGCCGGCCGACTGCAATCCGGCCCCCCACCAACGTCCATTCTGGCTGCTAGCACCATCTTCAGTTAGTTGGGGTGTGGAGACCGGAAACGGAAGTTGTCATTCGTTTTGTGAATTTGTTAAAAGTTACTTTCAAGACATTTAAAGAAAAAAAAAAAAATACACAGAATTGCATAAAAAAAACTTTTGTTGCAGTTCGTTGTTGTCGCGAAATGAGAAATATCAGTATATGCTAGTAGGCCCAGTAAATCTATATATCTTTTAATAAAACTGATTAATTGGCATTGGCCTATATTGCTGAATTAATAGATGTTCCAATATTCAATCGTAAATGCCAAATGAAAAATTAAATATTTAAGAATTTTTTATGGAAATGCTGTTCCCAAAAATATGCAAAGCACGTAGAAAATAGAGACTGTGAGCGACACTGATAGCCTGACTTCTGCTTTGGAAATGTATGTTTATTTTATGGAAGCGATATCGATTAATGCACAACTCTTTCAGCTTCTGTAACAAATGATTAAACAAATGTTTTCATTTTTTTTTTACTCCCAGACAAAATTTGCAGGAATTGAGTGTTGAAAGATTTGTGAAAATTAGTGTAGATAGAACGATGATTCGTACGATCAACCACTGCTATTCTATTTCTGAGCTCTATGGTGGTGAAGGCTTGTGTGGTTTTATTAATATAATCTGAAATTTACTCTGAAACCTTTTAAGAATTTCAATCGTTCGAAATACAATATATATGTATACTGTTTTCTAAAGGCTTGGGTGTTTTTTTTTTTATAATCTGAAATTTACTCTGAAACCTTTTAAGATTTTCAATCGTTTCAAACTCGAAGTATTAAAAAAAAGTAAGCACAAAATTCTATAAAAAAGGAAACTGTATTAAGTTGGGAAGTGTTCAGAATAATTTTTGTTCCGTTTGTTACTTTACTATATTTGAAATAACAATTTAAATTTTAACAAGAAAAAACTAACTTCGGACCTAATGCATATAGTGAATACTTTTTTTTTTATCATTGAAAGCGGCATTATGTTTCGAGGATGATTCCGAAGTAAAAGCAGCCTGTGAAGGCATTAAATTTTTAGCTATTTGGACTAAATGATGTATGTTTAAGGTAGCCTTAAAAAAAATAAAGATGAATAAATAACCTCCTCCTTTTTTTTAGTCCGTTAAAAACCACTTGACTTGCTGGTGGTCGAAGCAGAAAATAGTATTTGAAATTATTTTTACTACACTATTCCAACAAAATGTTGGAGAATGTATATTTTTCTATTGTTTTTTATTTTTTAAGTGAAGAATGTATAATCATCCGAATCTCCATAGTTATAATATTGCAATTGAAATAAATGTATATACATAGATATGCATGTGTATGCTGTCTGAGCTTTTTCTAAAACCTGATGCTGGAGCTTAGCGCTGTGCTTCATTTCCAGACTAAAGCTGTCCATTGTCGGCCCAACTTGCCTGTTCGCCTTCATTAGCAGCATAAATCACAGCAACTGAAGCGGCAGCAGCAGCAGCAGTAGCAGTAGCAGGAGCAGGAGCCGGAGCAGCCGCGTTATAAATGCGAACAATGACACAATTGATTGGCCAATTATGGGCGCTTTAGGGTGATTATGACGTTACGTTCCGTTAGCCACCGCCGGGGTCCACAGTGCAACGCGTGTCTAGGCCGACGACGCATTGGCCACAGGCTGGCTGGTTTTGTTGCTGTTGTTGGCCTCGGGCCCAGACTGGACGAACGCCTGCCCTGTCACGCCTCGCTAATTTTACACAATTAAATGCGTGAAATTCGTTTGAATAATTGAGCAATTTTTTGTATATGGACGTATATGTGGGGCTACGATTGGTTTGCCGAAATGTTGATTTAAACGCCCTAAAGCTTTAACATAACAGTTCAATGCTTAAAATAAAATAAAACCTTGAACTTGTATTCTCATATGCATTCTTATTTTTAAATTCATTTAAATTTAAATTCATAATTTCTTAGCTGAAAAGACGAAAAAACAAACGATCAAATGTCTTCCAGATGTCAAAAAGCTGCTCAGTCAATGGAAGTACAAAGAATATTAAATTAAATATTATATTATTAAACAAATAGACTATTCATCCATATGTTTGTCACTTCGAAGCTTAACAAATTTTGCCTTCCCCTTGCCTGCTCTAAGACTTCCAAGTCTGTCATTTGACTTGCATTTTATTTTTTTAAACAAATATTGTTTATAAATTATTTATCTGGCGCAAATAGACACAAATGCCTTGGGAGAACAAAATTTGGTATAAAAGGGCAGCCTTTTTAGGCAACAGAGTATCATTCGCAAGATATAATTTTATCAAAATGTACAAGCTAGTATTCGTTCTGGGTCTCCTTTGCGTGATTGGCCAATCGAGTGCCACAGGAGATCTCATCCCAAAAACATCATTAGCTGGCCTGACCGATTTGTTGGCCAATTTGGGGACAATCGCAGGTGAAATTGCCGGTTGTGTTGTTACCTCCTTAACGGATTGTAGTACTTTGGTAACTGATTTGGCTGGTCTGCTGAACGCAATTCCAGATATGGTGGAAGACTGCGTCATCAATATCATATCAGGCTGCGCAGATGTTGTTGACAGTAAGTAACTACACGATACTCAACTATTAAATCTTACTACCAACTATCTATGAATTATTTCAGGTCCAGTTTAAAGCACTAATGGAACCGGCCGTATGATGAACAGCAGCTTAATTAAATATGCTGCGGGAAGATTAAGAAAGACAACCTTCTTGTGCAATCTGCGGCTTTCTCCCACCTTTAAATTTAAGCTGTGCCAGCAGCTTTGCAAATATGTTTTTATATATTTTCGATGAATTGTTCATTTTGTCCTTGATTGAAATGACAATTGTCGATTTTAATGAAAATAAATAATAAAATAAATGACAATGCATACTAAATAACACTTTGTACTCATTTTTACTCAAAAATTTCAGGATTTTAAATATCTTATTAGGACTAGGAGGGACATTTTTCGAACGACCGATAAAAGACAAATTTGTTTTTTTTTTGTTTAGCCCCTCCATTCTGCCACTATGAGCGATTTTCCATTGCTCCCGTAATTCTTGGAGATTCGATTGGTATTCAGCATTTACATCTAATTAGTGATTATGCTCAAGTAAATGAATTCTATTAAAATTGTAAAACGCTATATATAAAACTATATATTTTATCAATTTTAAAACATTTTTTTTTTATATTGGGGACAATTACTACGAAGCAAGACCAATTGAACGAATTGGTGAATTTCTTCTAATAGGCTTTCTCGGCTAAGCACATTTCTACAATTGCCATTTCTCCTATTATAAGCTGTAGGGCTGTAAAAAAATGTAAATGTTGCGTAAATATTAAAGAAGAAATTGACCGTACAAAAATGCCAATTCATTCGAGATAAAAAAGCGTAAATAATGTCAAATAGGCGTTAAATTACTGCAACAATTGCTCACTGGCAATGTAATTTTCAGTTGCAACAAGCACAGTGGTCGACATATATCTTTGTCGTGCATAAAAGATTTACTTGTAAAGCAATGCTCTTTCACATTTATGCATTTACTGATTCACTGTCATACTTCCCCCCACTTTTCAAACATAGCTTGAGTAGAGTGTACGTATTTTTAAGAGGCATATAATTTAAACAAAATTCTCATTGCGGACTGACTCTAAATAATATTACTATTAAAAGAAAAAGTATTTATATATTTATTGAGATTTATGAACTATTTATTTTATTATTATTATTATTATTATTATTATTATTATTATTATTATATTTATTTACTGAATTTAGATTTACTTGTTATTTCATTTCATTTTCTGCTGTGATCCAATGCCTTTTTTAAGATTTTTAAAAGCAGTTCCCGACCAAATTTATTTTTTGTACTTGCTGCTTATTTTGAATTTATTTTAAATATAATATGGACTTGAATAATTGGATTTTCAATGTTATATAGATTGGTTATTTATAAGATTCTTTTTAAGTTCAATTTTATGTGTTAGCAGTTTTTATCCATTTTTTAGCAACAAATTTTTAAAGTACAGCAAACAAATTGCAATTCTAACTGTGTCTAAATAATCATCAATCCTCTTCCTTTCTAAGGCGGCCGTCTCTCATTTGTCAATTGATTGTCTTAGGATACACAAATATATCCTATCTATAATTCTCTGTCAATATAGCTAAAAAATGTGTGATCATTCATAAGAAGTTAGCTCACATTTCACATAATATCATATTCAATAGTTTATCCTCCTACTGAAAGTACTTGAAAGTAGTTATATTCCAACAACTGCATTGCATCCAACAAAATTGTAGATATTTTATAAAATAGCTGTGCAATAAAATCGCAATTTGTATTTTTTCTCAATCTTTTTCATTCTCTAACTTGTTCGATTTCTTATTATAAATGCAACTAATGAAGAGTTTTTTGCTTTTTGTTCGCAATTGTGATTTGCCCGTTTAGTTCAATGCACGTGAAAAGTTTTTAATAGCAGTTGCACGAAAATATTTCCATGATTTATTAATGGTAAGCAAATGCAATTTACCATACTTTGACACATTGCGATAAGTAGGAAAAAAAAGGAGGCGTCGTGGAAGAAAATAAAATCATCAAAAACGTGGCTGGCACATTGACAGTTGCAATTCGAAAAGTTTTGGGGCCCCAGCCCCATTGAACGAATTTTTGAGTCACGGCTGCAGCTGAAACTTCACTTCGATCATATCGTGCGGCAATTAGCATTTTGTGGCGATGTTGCACAATAATTGAACGAGCTAGCCGTGGTGTGACAGCTCAGGGTCCAGCGGGTGGTCTGGGTCCTGGTTACGAAGAACCGCAGAAAAAAACGGTTCATCAGGGGTTTTTTTTTTTGTTGCGGCAAAGCCCACAGCAGCAGCCGCCGAGGAAGGGGGACGAAGGCGTATGGGGAAGTGATAGAGAGAAAGAGAGAGCATGTGAAAAAAATTATTTGATTATCCTGCGGCCATGCGCTGTCACAATTTTGCAGACTACCCACAGAGTGTGGCAGGAGCGGCTGTGGCTGTGACTGCGACGCTGGACTTGCTTGTCCTGCCGGCTGCAGCATGAAAACTGCCACATCAGCGAAAGTCTGTTAACTTCCGGTTTATGGTTGCAGCAGCTTATGGAGTCATTTCCGCTTCTTTCTTCGGCACCGTCATTCATACTCGTCCAACCAGCCAGCTGGCGGCGACTGCGGGTCGTGCGCTCCTGCAGACCATTCTATTAAATCATCATTTCATTTTGCTCTCGTCTCGTCTCGCCTCGCCTCGCTTCGCCTCCTTTACTTTTATATTTTCCTCCGTACGCTATAGTCCTTCCTTCCTCGTTGCAGATAGCCTGTGCCACGGTAATTTTTTCCAAGTGCTTCCTTAGATTTATAATTAAGATTTGGTTAGCAGCAATTGCGGCTGCTTGAATTTATGTGGCTAGGCACCTAGTAGCGCTGCGAACATTTTCCAGCCATTTATCATGCTTTTGGAGGTAGTGCATGGAAATTCTACGTACATGGGCAGCTTGTGAAAGCCTTGACTGTGTGCAATTTAATTACGCTAAAAGCTTGTCAGCTGCATGCAGCTACAAGCAGCAAGATATACAAGAATATAGCACAAAAAGTGCCAATTTACTGCCGATGAACAAAATCAAAAACCAACATAAAATCGAAGCCCACCATAAGTAGATTCATAGCTGAGATTAGAAAATGTATCCCCATATTTATAATCGTACTTGCAGAGGAAAATAAAATTTAAAATATTTGGGAAGATAAATATTTTTTTTAATAATGAAAACAATTTTAATTATTACTTTGCTGTTCCTAAAATTTCATTAATAAAAGATTTCATTGATTTATTTAATTTTTGTTTAATAGACTTAAAACTGGGAATTGGTCTACACTAATGGCGATAATAAGTACGACAACAAAACTTACCAAATAAGGAATGTAACAAAACTACAATAAATAACAAATTAAAGATTTTCATAATGCTTTCTCTATTATTTTACAGTAGTTGATTAAAAATTCGACAAAATGTTTAAATTGTTATCAAAAAAAAGAATAGCATAAAGCTTCAAATCTTAGTTTTAATTGATAATTTTAATTTATATCTATTTAAAAAATACAAATTTTAACTTTTGACTTTTATGACTAAGGTCGAAGTGCTTTTGGGAATGACCTTTTTAAATATGAAGAATATTTAACCGAATGATCAACACTTACTTTAGTAAGTTAATTGACTTCTTCAAGACATTTGAATAATTTTATGTTTGGAATTCTTCGAATAATAAAATGCATCAGCTACTTCAGATGAATGAAATACAAGTAATATAAAATATATAAGAACATATTTATATTTGCTAATTTTTCATGAATTTCTAATAAAATAGTTTGTTAAATAAATATTGCAAAAATTATGCTTAGTAACCTAAGTTTATAATTAGTATTTCGATTAATTACACCTAAAATTCTTATATTTATATAAATATATTTTTAATTTCAAACAAACTAGATAATAATACGGTAGTATAAAAACGATTCTTCTAAGTACTGAGAACACACGCAGTTGAAACCCACATATGTACACGTATACATTCATTATTTCAATCTAAAGTTCGTAATTAGTGAGAGCTTCAATTTTATGACAACACAGGCACAATTAAAATCATATATGTGTTATGGAATTACAAATGTACAAGTCAATAATGGAGCTAATGAGCCATGATTGGGCATAATGAGTGGGCCCAATTGGGATTATACTTAAAGCTAGAAACACATTTGTTAACGTGTTAACATTTTATTTTGAAAAAGAGTAAAGAAACTGACCGTGCTGTTGCAAAAGCAAAATGTGCAGGAAGACAACAATTACATTTTTAATAATAATATTGTTAAGCTGTGCACACCGTGCTTCCAGTGGGCGTAAGGTAATGTTTTTTAAAATTAAATTAACTTTCAATTTTCAATTATTTTGTGCAGGCTTTCAGTTCCTATTACTTTCGCAAGGTCGTAGTCGATTTCAACCATAAATATGTATCGCATTATGCAGTCGATATAAACCCTGATCATACCTCTTTAAATATAGCACTGAGTGTAATTCGAGACCTTAATGTTGATATGTGGCTCCGCATAACTGTTTCACAGCGAGGGGCAAAGAACACATATAAACGACTTTTCTTTTACGACATGAATTTATGCAACGTGGTTGGCAAGAGCAAGGATTTCAATATAATGCAACTTTGGATACAGAACGTTTTCAAATATGGGGATATGCCCTTGACATGTCTCTTTCGAAAGGTACAAGTATTATATAACACCATTTGAAGACAAATTATTTAATTTCGATTAATCTTGCAGAGTAATTATTCGTGGAGCAACTTGCGTGTCGATAAGGACAGCATACCCCCGTTTATAATGTCAGGCCGCTTTCGGATCGATCCGTTTTTCTATTTGAAGGACTGGGATAACGAGGTGGCCTTTAACTCTTCAGTATTTGTGGATATTAAAATGAAGTAAAGTTTTATTTTAAAAAGAGTTTATAATAAGTTCCACACTAATCGTTAAATATGACACACAAGCAAAGTTTATTTATTCAGACTCAATCGTTTTTTTTTTGTTTGTAAAAAAAATCAAAACATAGTTTGATTAAAATATAAATTGTTGAAAATCTTTGAAAACTGTTTGATGCCGTTCATACGAACAGCAAAATGCCGTAAAATAAAAGTAAAGAGTGTATATTTAAAGCTTATATGTCCCTTATATAACAAGAAATTGCAGTCAAAAGTGAAATATATATTTAAACAGGGTTTTATTTGGAACTAATAGCTATCAGATGATTTACTTGTATGTACATAGAATGCGTTTATAGGCTTGCTTTTCTAACTAAATGTATATATTCATGAAATGCTAATATTGATTCGAAGCTCCTAATAAGAGTATATAATGTGAGCTGAAGACTGATTATAAATATTGGTTTAATATTCTATCTATAATCTATATAATTGTTTAAACTAAATAGTTGAATGATTGATGAAAGTATGCACATTGATTTTCATTAAAGTGATTGTATTATTAAAAATGGGAATTGTAACTTAGTTCGAACGATGAGCACCAGTCTTTTAATGCCCTAACAACGTCCGGCATCCAATTTGTCGCATTAAAACCAATTGCAAATAAATCATTCAGCGCTTCAAATCGCTGCAAATCTGTGCTGCACACCAACGTACACAATTTTTCACTTCGAATCGTGCAAAATCGTGGCACGTGCAATTCGCATAAATAAATTAATGAATCCACACCGCGATGGCGCTCTCCGGCAGTGGACACGTGCCGCATGTCACACACCAAGTGGAGCTCGATTCGATGGACACTGCCAAAGAGGAAAGTGCAGCAGCAGTTGCTGCGATTTATGCGACTCGCAGACTAAGCGCAAAATAATTTAAACACTGACAATAACAGTTTGCCAAAGTATTTTTCTCAACAAGTATACTCCAATCGCAAACGCACACGCACACACACACACACACACACACAGACACCCACTCACCACAGACTTTGGCAGTCAGTCAGCACTCGACACGTTCGCGCGCGCTGCAAAGTATGCTTTGTTTTTTTTTTCTTTACTGCTTTCCTCTGCTATCATTGCACTTCCGATGTAGAAATGATGGGAAAGCGCAATTTCTTGTACTTACTATTTTGTCTTCGATCTCAATGCATTGGCAACGCGCCTGCTGAAACAATAAAACAGCGGGGTGTTGTGCACGCTTAAGGAAATTGCCATCATTATGGCTGTCAACGCTGTCGTCCTTTGTGCTAAATAACGTTTAATGTTTGTTTGGCGTGAAATTGATTTACAAATGCAGCGGATGTACTTGAGTTTGCAATGAGAAATGCTGCTTGGTTAGCCGCAAGGCACAATAGCGTTCATTTATTGTAAGTTTTCGGATATGTGCCCATAACAAGCTCAATTAGATGCCTCAGTGGGCCTTCAACTAATTAAACAAGGCTTACATGACTTTCATTCATTAGCCAGACAAGTCATCCTGCCTGCCATTTATTCATTCAGTCAGTCAGTCAGTCAGTTAGTGGGTCTGTGCGTCAACTGAAATGGCCGCAGGTGCTGCTACTAATGATGACCTGATGATGGCTGTTGATTAAGTCAATGCTATAATTATACCAGCGGGAATTGCTGGCAAATCAATGGCAAAAATGTGAGATGATGGTGCCCCGTGGCTTTGCGACACCCGGTGTGTGCCCCAAAGACAACGAAAGGCGGCAATTAGGGAAGCGATGAAGTTAAAAGGCACACACGCCACCCAGCGGAGGAGTAACAAAAGATTGAAAAGGAAGCACACAAGACGGCAAGTCAGATGCAGTTAAAGCAACATTAACAGCAGCTCCTTTTGCTGCATGCGACAGCTGTGCTCTGATGATGGCGGTAGAGGAGAGCCCGGAGGATGGCTGAGGCAAGGACGATATCGTGCTTGTCGAGGACATTGCAGCTAAATTGAATGTTCAATTTTTTATGGCAAGTTGCTGGGTCTGTGCAGCTGCGTGTGTCTACCCCATCGATAATCAACGCCATGCCGTGCAACATGTTGCAACCTTGTACAGGATATTATTATTTCTCATGAAATTGTTAGCATCATCCGCTGCAGACATAGCACTCGCAGTGGAAGGCGAAAAATGCATTGGCTTGACTTGCGAAGAAAAAATAATAAAATAAAAACAGTAATGATTACATTTACGGTGCGTGATTGCAGGAAGTGTCAACAGCACATCGATTACGAGTATGTTTGAGCAAGCGGACGTTTCCTTTTTTGTTTTGTGGATATCAAGAGTGTTGAGTAAATCGACAGCTGCCTTTGAAGAAATTAATGTGAGAAATTATGCGGGCCATAATCTGCAAAGTATTGTGCTTTTAAATAAAATCTTAAAGGAAAAATGAAAATGTGAACATTCTTGCTCTGCTGCGCTGCATTTATATAAAAAGTTTAACCTCCATAATTATTATTAATTAATTTGCCGAAGTTTAATTTAATTTTTCTTTGTATTTACACGGCTTCCAAATCGAATAGTTCTAGATGTCTGTTCCGCGTGATATACAGGTATTAATACTTTTATTCGTACTGCAAAATTTTAGAATTTTATCCAGCAAATTAGTATTAAATATATGGTCTAAATCTACAAAACCGCGGATAGTTTGTGCAGAGAATTGACTGGAACGCCTGCATGCATATTTGAAACACAACACAGGTATACAATAGAAGTAATACTATGCATAGTATTTAAATCATGCAGTTTGTAAGAAGTCGTAAACACAAGAGAATTTCTAAATTTCAATTTCAAAAATTTTTAAGTCTGTAAATTAAAATTTCTACTGAGTTGTATTTCTATAATACCCTATTCATTTGTTAAAGAAGAAATATATACTCAAAAAATGTATAACATACAGGCAGGTAGTTCAAAAGTAACTAAAAAATAATGAACAAATTTTTATTACATCAAACAAACTCAATACATACAAGTATTAAGCTTTACATTAGCATATCAATCACAAATCGACTTACAAATTCCTCAGATGAGCTATTCCATTTACCAAAAAAATAATAAAGATCAAAACGACAATAGCCAGGAACTACAAATGATGGTCGATTCATCTGTTCCAAGGTCCAACCATGTATGTAGTAATGCCTAGCTTTTATCGGGCAAGTCAATACAAAGTTTCCACTTTTCATTAAACTAGAATACCAACGGTTGAAAACACCAGAATTACGCGTATTTAACAATGAGCAAATGTTAAACTTAAAATGATAAATCGGCTGATAGTTGGTAGTGTTCTCAATTCGACGTGCAATATGCATTCGCAGTTGGTAGCCCGATCCTAGGGTTCTTCTATTATACGAGTCCACGTAAAGCGACTGATTGCGCACACTTGCTGTGATTTTGAAGAAATATTTCTGGTTGTAACTAGCTTCTGCTGATAAAATAGCTATGTTTGAGATCTATAAACATGGGCACAAAATTTATGCAAGACTTAGAAAAATTATTGTATTCTTACAGCATCCAAGGACACCACCAGCGAAAGCAAAATATATGTAGCCGTATACATTCGGAATGTTTTATTGTCTTAACAACGTCACGCTAAATAATGGCTTAAACGGGAAATAAAAACTACTCGTAGTTATGGTACAAACTCATATAATAGTTGCCCTATTACTGTTTATCAAAATACGGATAATTATGTGTAATTATAATAATATATCGTAGCATTTTTATACCCTGTACATGTAGGGTGAAAAGGGTATATTTGGTTTGTGCAAACAGACAGAAGGAAGCATCTCCAACTCCATACAGTATATATATACTTGTATTCTGAATCAGCATGATAAATCTAGCTAGACATGTTCGCCCGTCCGTCTGTCTGGATGAACGCCTGGATTACGGAAATGGCTGAGCCTACATAAACCAAACTTGGCATGCAGACGCTTCTAGTCCCTATACAAGTCTGTACAAATTTATTTTACTTTTTTGAATTTTTCCCTTCCCCCGCTACAGAATTTCGTCAATACTGTCCACATTTCAAAAGCTACCCTAACCAAACTTTGTACACAGAATATATATACAATTCTCTACTTTTGTTTCAAATTACAAATTTATAAATCGGTATATTCTAAGAAAAGTTATTAGCGAATACATTTCACTCCCATACTACGGCCACAAGCTGCAGCATCAGGGTCGCCCTTCTTCTTCCTTTTGCTTCTGCTAGAGGCACATATACCTCAGTGTCGGAAGTTTGTGTGCGTACAGGGTATTGCACTGTCGGGCTTGCTCGACTGTAGTGTTCTCTCTTGTTTAAATTATTTTTGTGAAATCAACAAAACCGTGTTCAACGTAATTATGGTTGTGTGAAGCTATTGATGTTTACTCAAAACAAATTTATGAAGTTGTTATGCAATTTTGTATACAATTTCGTGCAGATGTATTCAAGCGTATAAGCAGTAGGCTTATTATTTTCCCATATTATCAGCATTACTTGTATGTCATTCTTTTGTATGTTCTGCTTGTTTTGATCTTTTGTTTACAGATATTTAGATAAACAACTAATTTTTTGAAAACTTTTATTGCATTTCATTACCAATATAAAATTAGTTTCGATAATTTAAATTAATGCATCAACCACTAGATAACTTACGAAGTCGTCCTTTTTGTTTTTCAATTTCATGAAAAAATGATGAAAAACCCGATAATAGCCCGGAGTTATGAAAGACGGCATGTTGGCTTTCTCTATGGTCCAGCCATGGATATAATAATATTTCGAATTCATGGGGCAGTTCTTCATAAAATTTCCGCTTTTCATGAGGGTGGCATACCAACGCTTAAATACGCCTGTACTTAACGTATTCAAAGTATTGCAAATGTTAAAAGTAAATTTAAAAACTGGCTGAAAGGCGCTGGAGTTTCCTATACGTCGGGCATATTCCAAGCGCACATGATAGCCCGTATTTATAACCACT